TTTTTGCTTTTTGTTCTTCGATTCTTTTCAGAGGAAATATCAGTTACTAAACTCCTTATCTCATCAATGATTTCATCTGTGTATGCAGAAACTTCTTGATTTGCTTCAGAAGCATTGCCAGATATCAATAAAGAACCGGACTCATTATTTTGTTCCTCGTCTTCAGAATGAGGCTGCCCAGAATGAATGGGAGGGACACTAAAGCTTGAAAGGGGTATGCAAAAATCATTTCCATGACAATTCAACCACGTGTTTTCATTCAGCTTCAGAACAAAAACAAATGCCACAGATCCTTCATCCAATATAAATGATCCCAATGAGCCATGCCCACCGTTTTTTCGCTGCAAAGTAGGAACATGCATAGTTAACAGATAAGAACAATGGAGTAGCTATTCAGAATCTTTAACAAAAACTCTGGTGGAGAGTTGACAAAAATATACATAGAGGCTACTGCTTTGGAGGCAGAAAACATAGACAATTCTTGTAATATATACCTGTAAAAGAGTCCGCAAAGCCTTATCCTTGAACATGCTTGTTTCAGGAGGATAGGGCTCAGATGGAATTTCCCACGTTTTACCATCATCTTTGCAAATACCCCAGTGAACAATTACATCTCCAGGTAAATCAGTTTCAATATACAAAAGATTCTTGGCTGTCTCCAGACAATGCCTAACAGACACACTCACTGAGTTATCAACAAGGATTTCTTTAACAACAGCTTGTTCTTCATAGAAACCCTGAAGACCCCTCTTTTGCACACTAAGTTCCCCAATGTCTTCCTTAGAATTAGCTGCTTCTGGTTTAAGAAGCATGTTGGATATCTGTCCCAAAGGCCCTGATATAAAATATGAGTTATTCAAGTGAATTGTCAAGGACAGAAAAAAAAACATGGGAAGCACAAAGATGTGAAGCATGAATATATTTATATTGACAAAAATAACATAATGACTCATGATGTTAATTGTGTTCAAAACTAGAATGAGCTATGATCTTAGCAACAAAATCCCACTGACATACATTCATCAACATGCACTCCATCATTCCACTCAGCAGGTATATGCCAGCTATAAAGCTAAGCTGGGATACATGGATTCAGTGATTATTAACAAGTTCTCCATTGAAGCATTTCAGCTAGCAAAGATCTATGAATGATATCAATAAATAAGTTGGACATTTCTATTATTAAGTGCGAGATGAATTAATATAATATACAGCACAGAAAATTTTAAACAACCTGGCCATGTGCCCAGACCCTTTTTAGCTCCTACGATATTTCCATCATCTTGAAGGTAGTCAATAAGAGGAACCTTAAAATCTCTCCCTCTGTGCTGATACCAAGATCCAGTTTCCTCATCCTGGACCATCAACATAACAACCAAAGACAACAAAAAAAGCCATGGTGTTTTGTAGATAAGTGAACAAGGCCTAAAATTATATATCAAATCAAAGTAGAAAAGCATTGAGAAGCTAGAAAGAAGAGGAAATTCACCTTCAATACAAAATTTATAGCTGCAATTGAACTGTTTGTGTTGAAGTCAATATTCACTTCATAAATTGATTCTCCTTCTGATGATGCAAGTGATTTTTCTAAAGGAGTTTCGATTGCATAGTCCTAAAATGGCAATCAATATCAACGTACATTTAAGAATATGAGATTGATTAAAATATAAAACAAACACTAAGCATCATGGAGAATGAACATATTACCTTAATGGGAATGGAACCCGGTGGTCTCATATCTGGAGGGGGTTGATCCCATTCACTGCAACCATGGGAACACAAAATTGTATTTTGTTGCGACTAGAGTAATTATAATAAGAAAATTCATTGCACGCATGGATACGAGCATAAAGGGATTTGACCCCAAGTTAGAAACATTTAAAATTGTCAAATTTGTAACTCATAAGGCAAGAGCAAACCTGCCAACATCACCTATGTAATTAACTCCCCAGTGAAGAATCCACTTTCCAGGAAGACAGCATCCCACAGTAAGCCGCCAATTATCATCACTGTTACCACTTTCTAATCTGATTGTTATCTTTCCCTCCACCTGCCATTCCAACAACGAATTGATAAGCGCACAAATAAAATATTGAAATTCGTACTTGCACTTACTCCATCTATACTCTTAAAAGCAAGTAACAACAGAAAGAGACAGTAATCACAATGATTAAGAAAAAATATCAAGAACACAGAGCTCAAAAAAAAGAGATTGAGTCCTAAATTGAGCTGATTTTTTTCCCCGGATCTTTTGTTAGAAAACTTAAGATTTTCACACTTCTCTCTCAAAATCTTGAAATTTTAGAACATAACAAAGAGATCACTAATCTAAGTCCAGAAAAGGGGAAAAAAAATCAAAAATAAAGAAGTTCCAACCTCAAGCTTAAAAATTTCCCAAAATTTTTATCTAGTGTCATTTTCATTGACATCATCGAGGAAAAATCATATGCACACAGAATACAAACCCATTATACTATAAGCGGTGATTCATAAAAATACGCATACCTATTACCTATAAGTAAAACTTTGCTAATTTCGTATTTTCAGGCGCATAAAACACAAATTGCATACCTTTTGAGGTCGTTTTAACTGGAAAGTTTCACTGAACACGAAGTCAGAAGATTCAGAGGTTTCGACGACGGCAGTATCAATGGAGCTGGTTCGTAGAGAAAGAGCTTTAGCCGGCTTGAAATGGTGTGAGCTAAGGCTACAGGCGTCGTTGAAGATCGGCCTTGGGCTATAAGCGTAATTTAGATAAAAGGAACGGGCCATACTGGAATTGAGATAGGCTGGTCGGTGGCCGCCGCCGAGGCGGTGGGGCTGGCGGAATAGTGGCCGAATTACAGCTATAGACATTTTTTTATCACCTGGGCACGGGGTGTGGAGTGGATTTGTTTGCGGATATTTATAAGGGTGTGGAGTGGATTTTTTTATTTTTTTATTTATTTATAAAAGTTGGTGGCGGATAATATGGATTATTTTAAAATTTACATGTATGGGTTTCAAATTTGCTGTAATTGTATAATAGACCCTAAAAGTTTCAAAATTTGTAGACTGCCCTTTATTAACAAATTTCCTTCAACAAATCTGAGAATTTTCAAGAAAGTAGAAAAATAGGATCGACCAAGGGTAACCGCTTTCTTGGACCAGAGTCAAACCAAACATGCCAGTTCAATCTGATTATAATTAAAATCATTTCATTAATGGGACTTAGAATTAAGAACCAAGCTATTATGGTACAATTTTGAAATATATCGCATAATCGAATTTTGATTCAATTCATTCAATTCTTGCAATCCATGTGATAATTTGTAACCTTCTCTCTATTATTGAATAAGAAAGGAATAACGTCGTTCGACTACATCCCGATTCTAACCTCGACCGACAAGTCATTTCACTCCAATTGCTTTTATCTAAAGTATAATTATGCATAGTACGTAAAAATTCGAATAAAATAATATTATCACAGAACCTCTTCTTTAACAAAAATGTCGCTAAGTTTCCCTTTCCATCCACATCGAATTGAAAAAAGAAGAAATTATACTTGGAGAAAGTTTGTTGGATAGTTTCTACAATTCAATAAAGTAAGGGCCACCGTTGTTTTATTTTCTTGGGAAAAGTTGAAACTTTTTGAGTAGATTCAAAGGGTCTGCAGCAGCTTTACTTAAAACTCCTAATTAGTATATTTTTTATCCGATGTATTATTGGATATTAATCCTCGGACAATGCTAAGAATTTCCATTAGAAGAAGTGGACCGCCTTTCTTTCAGCGTGTGATACAAGTATATAAAGTTCATCTCTTAGCCCACCTTTATTTCACCATTATAACTAGCAATGTTAAGGTGCTGTAAGCAACCAATCTAAGCGATTCCGATCTTTATTATATATAATCCATTTATAGCCATTAGAAAACATAATTAATAAATCTATTAAGAATTAGTTATATAATTTATATATTATATATTTCGTCCAAAATATATTTACTAAATAGTGACAAAATTGATTGAATAATGTTGTATAGTAATACTATTTAACATTCCTCAATGATTTTGTGCGACATTTAAAACATTTTTAGTGATGCTTTATAAGGGAATCAAATTTATTATAACAACAATAATTTAAATAAATATGATTTATTTATTTTTTTGATGAGAACTTTTAATCACAATCTAGCATATTCTTCAATAGAACACTAACAGAATGTTTTCACAAATGGTGATAGGGTTTCATTTCATTTTACACATGGTGACCTTAGTTGCGAGGATGGATTATAGTGATCATAGATGGGGGAACCTTTCAAAATGCTTTGTTGCGTGTAGTCAATGAGCTTTCGAGACAAAGTATAATGTGATGATGTATACAATTTAACTCACATAGAAAAAAGGGCGGGAAGGATTTGCGGTTGGAAAGTGATTCTATAAATGTGGTCAAAGCGTTGGAAACCAGTGGAATGACGGGAAGCTGAAATCAAGACGTATGTCTCACATGAATTTTGAAATGTCATACATGTTTCAAGAAAAGCAACAAAAGGACCGATGCTCTTGCCACAGACACAAGCGATCGAATGGTGGAACCACCATCCAAATTAACGTGTGAGTTTTATGTCTAATAACGTGTTGGGTAGACTTTGTAGAGTTCAATTCGTTACGTTTATTTGAAACTTTAATTTATGAGTAAACCCAAAAGAACGGACACTACCTCAAAAAGCTAAATGAAGGATTTTTCTTTTCTTCTTTTAATGATAGCCGAAGATACTAATTCCAATAACAAATTAATTTTTCTTCAAAAAAGTTAATAATATTGGAAAATAAGTAAAATGGAAAAAAATAAAAAATAAAATTACACCAGTGGCATTCGTGTTTGAAAAATCAACGGTCAAAATAATTTCCTTTTTTTTTTTGCTTTTTTTTTTTTTCCCCATTACAAACCCTACCGTCGACATACACGCCGCGAAAAAAATAGGGTCATGGATGTAATTGAACTATTAACAGCTAACCATATAAGGCAAGACGAACCCCCTATTTCTCATTTTCTCTCTCTAAAACACTCTCGTTTCTCTCTCTAGCTTTCGGTTCAAAAACAGAATAAATCAAGAAACAGTAATGGTGAAGGGTCCAGGCCTCTATCCTGAAATTGGAAAGAAAGCGAGAGGTAAGTAAATTTCATGGGTTTGTTTTGTATGAGTGTATTTATGTTTATTTGTGTTTTTTCGCTATGAAATTTTCGTTAATTTTTTGTAATTATAACGTGGTTTCGGTGATTTTAATTAAATTTTATTGGTGGGATTTTCAGATCTTCTTTATAAAGACTACCAGGGTGACCATAAATTCGCTCTCACTACGTACGCCTCAAATGGAGTGGTGAGTTATGTGTCTTTCTTCATGTATAATTATAAATGTATGTATATATATAAATCTTGTTTGTGTGTATATAGATGGCGTTGTATATGTGCGTCTGTTGGGGGTGGGAGTTGCATGCATGTAGAAGATAATGAAGGGACCAATGGATTTGATGAACGAAATTCTACTGTTAAAAACATTTTTGTTCATACAATATAATTATTTGATCTGTATCCATTTTAAGGAGAAATGTCAAACGATTTCCTTGTTCCCTTTTTTTTTTTTTTTTTTGGATTTTCCCTAAAGCGATCCTTGTATAAAAATTTCGGATTTTTCTTCTTCCATATCATACATATTTCTTATATTTTTAAGTATCTTGAGAAAGATTTTTATAAATTTGTAAGTTTGTTTATTAGTTTGTGTACACGTATTCAAACTTGGAAGGTATTTAATTACTTGAGATCTCAATAATGCAACTGCCATTGTGGCGCTTGTTCAACATTGTGATTTATACAATATGTAATCTCATCATCGATAACTCTGGATGAACAAATAATACATTTCTTTGCCATTTTGATGGTTATTGGCGGTTGCAGAAGCTACTTTCATGTTCTATATGTTTATTTTTTCCCTACAATTTGATTTATACATCAGGCCATTACTTCATCTGGGACCAAGAAAGGTGGGTTGCTTTTAGCAGATGTTAGCACTCATCTGAAGCACAACAATATCACAACTGATGTAAAAGTGGATACCAATTCCAAAGTAAGTCAAAATACCTCACTTGATGCTTCTTGCGATTTGCATAAGTAAGCCATGTTTCAAGGTTTATTAATCATAAGTGCATTATTGGATACTAATCTGAGCTTATGTATTGTCGAATTTTTTTTATCTACTTATTTACAGAATGTTTAGTGGTGCGATAGTAATTTTTTACACTTGTTTACATGATTATTTGTTTCTTTATCTTTCTCTTCGACTGTATTGCATGAATATTACCATAGTAGACTTATTAATAAGACAACTTCCAAAGACAAGCAACTTGAAAATTTCCAAGTTAGTTCAAGGTTGTTGATGTAAATCTAATAGGTGCTGGATAGCCTGAATGATACTAGAATTTTGCCATGCATGGTCTGTCCTATGTTTTGGCGTCGTAGTTGTGTATCATCTTTGGCTCTGGTGCCAGCTAATTTATGTGGCAGGCGAGGTACCAAAGTTATGGGAAACTAACCCCAAATGGAACTTGACTTGCCAGCCCGAAAGACTTGATTATCTGGTGAACCACAAGATGCTGAAGTCCAAGAAGGCGGCCGAACTTTCAAGAAATTAGCTCTTCTCCCCACTTTTATCAGTTTATCTTTGCATGCGTCAGCTACCTCCTGGAACTAACATCAAAATTAGGCTGGACAACCCCCACCCCCTATAGACCTATTACTTAGTGGGATTTTCATTAGGTCTGCTTCAATTCAAGAGGTGGGGATATCTCTGGTATGTAGTTTTTATTATATGTCATTGTGCATCATCATTAAGTTATTTATTGGCTTATTGAAGCGCATAATAACTCTATTATAGTAGTATTTATGTCAATACCTTAATGATTTTTGAAGTCTCTTTCTCAGATTGATTGATTTTGGTGTTGATAATATGTTTATGCTATTTTGTTGTCTACTTTGGTTCTGTAACGTGGCAGACTGGATTCACCTACCATTGCCTGACCAATACCATATAATGCTAAGATTACTTTTACATATTAAAGTTCAAGGTTTGATTTTTGATATGTAATATCTTGATTTTATTATGCAGTTGATTTACCTATCAACTCGCTTTCCTGGATTCTGCCCCCCATTTTCCCGATTTAGAAACAGATAGTAAAACGGCGTTCTTTGCTGTCATCACAGTTATCCTTCAAATCAAATTATAAAATTTATTTTTAATATTCACCTTTCTCTGTGGTTATCACATTTATTTGTCCTTTTTTGCTCTCTCCGCATTAAATCAACGTATTTAATTTTGTAAATGCATTACAGAGAGCCACCACCATGGTCGGCTAAGCTTAAAAAAAAGGAGCAGAAGTCCTTTTCTGGGAAAGCGAATAAAGACTAAATTTCAAAAAGCAAGTTTTTGAAATAAAAATTCCCGAAAAGGTACCTTCTAGTAAGTTTAGCCAGACACGATCTAATATACTAAGAAGTCATGTTGTGTAACTTTATAATATTTTATGGATATGGAGAATTCCTTTTCTATCTTTCTTTTATCTTTTTCCTTCTTTTGGGACTGTGTGGTCAGATGACAAACTTCATTGTAATTGAAATTTGATTCTTTTCCTCAAACGGTTGTCTGGTCATGTAGGTTCACACAACCATCACCGTGGATGAGGCTGCTCCTGGAGTGAAGGCTTTTTTTAGCTTCATCTCTCCAGATCAAAATTCTGGCAAGGTATTTATCCTCCTAGGTGTGATAATTTAAGTTAATATTTTTCTAGAGCATTGTTAAAGCTTTGTTGGTTCCTTGTGCTGTCCTCGAGTGAATTCTATTTTAATGGGTATTAAACTCTAGTCATGTTCGGTACGGAGGATTAAATAGTATTGAACAGACCGAGGAACACAATTTAAAATCTCTATTATATTGTCAAGTTCTACTCAGTATTGTGTACCAAATGTGCACGAGCTATCTCTGACTTCTCGAAATGTTGGTAACAGTTGGAGCTTCAGTATTTGCACGAGTATGCAGGAATAAGTACTAGCCTTGGCCTGACTGCAAAACCCATTGTCAACTTCTCTGGTGTTACTGGGAACAATCAGGCTGCCTTTGGGACAGATATCTCGTTTGACACCTCTACTGGGAACTTCACCAGATGCAATGCTGGAGTAAATTTCACCACGTCCGACCTGATTGCGTCCTTGACGTTGTGAGTAACTGCTCTACTTGTTGGATAGGTAGACCTTACAATAGTGGACACTATTAAAGAAGAAAAACGTTAAAATATTATCTGTTTTACTTACTAACTACATACCCTCTCATTTCAAAAAAGAAACAAGAAATATTATAGATGTCTAACTAGCTGTATCTCGGTGAACGTGGGTACTACCTCTCATTTTATAAACCTCCTAATACTTTACTGCACATACTTTTGATGAGTTCCTTGCAACTGTCACTCCCCCTCTCCGCAGACTTTGCTTGTCTTTGCTTTGCATGTTTGTGAAAAGCAGAGAGTGTTTTGCGTGTAGTTTATTGCTAGTGACTAGTGCTAAAGCTATTTCTGTTCATGTTCTAGTTTGGTGTCATAGCTCATGTTTCCTCCATAGAATTCATTAAGCAAACAAGTACCAGCATTCCATTTCCTTGGCTTCTGTCAAGAATTATTCTATGAGTTCTATTGGCAGAACGGAAGAGAAGAAAGATTTCTAGTTTTCCTTTTATCAGGGGACACCCAGATATGGCAATGATGAGTTCGTCTGTTTTTTCAGTTTTCTTTCTTGCATGACAAGATGGCTGTTTTTTTATATAGGAATAACAAAGGCGAATCGCTTACTGCATCCTACTTCCACATGGTAAGCCCAATGACCAATACTGCTGTTGGAGCTGAGTTGACCCACAGCTTTTCGAGCAATGAAAACAGTCTCACCATTGGGACACAACACTCGTTGGATCCTTTAACTGCAGTGAAAGCTTGTGTAGACAACTACGGGAAGGTATGTGCTCTTATACAGCATCAATGGCGTCCAAAATCGCTTGTTACGATCTCAGGCGAAGTGGACACAAGGGCAATAGAAAAAAGTGCCAAGATTGGATTGGCTGTTGCTCTCAAGCCATGAAGTTGAGCATTTTGCTATTGAGGTTGGTGGCATCGTGTTGAGATGCGGAGTAATAAGGTAGATAGTGTTGATTCTTGGAAGCCCTTGTCTTCTTTGTAGACTTTTGATGTCTTTTAATATGGTCTTATATTTTTCATATTCAATGGGTTTGGATTGTAAAAATTAAAAATAAAATAAAATTACAGGGTCATGAACTAGAATGTCTTTTGGATTTGCTGCACAGATGTTGATAGCGGCTCGATTGTTGAGCTTAAATTCCATTATTGTGCAACATTTATTGATGTTGCTTATATATCACGGTAATAAGGTCGTTGAACATTATGTTTGAACGGAATTAGACTGCATGTCAGAGAGTCCATGTTTTATTTAGACGGGGGGGGGGGTGGACAGCAAATGAGACGCATAATTAAATTTCTTACTTCTCTAGCAACTCAAATCAGTTAATTTTTTGAGCATCAACAATCTGTGTAATTCTCTTCTGACGTTTGTAGGGAGTATTGAAATTCACTGAACAATCATGTCAAGTACTGCATGCCAAACAATCACTTGAGAACAAAGCATATCACTAGTATATACACGTATCAATATGTAACACTACCAACATGCGACGCCTTCTCAAATCACATAGATGTCATCATCCAAAATTGAACAGTGCACATGATGTATCATAAATGAGAGAGAGATGTATCTTACATGAGAGACACCTTCTCAAATCACATAGATGTCATCATCCAAAATTGAATGGTGCACATGATGTATTGTACATGAGAGAGAGATGTATCTTACATGAGAAAGATTCTAACACGATAAAAAATTACTCCATTAACTTCATCTCCATTTACATTACATTCTTCCCCCTGAGAGCACCTTTAACAAAGTGAGATGGATTGGACAGTAAGATAGCAAGATTTGAAGTTTTGAATTTCTCTTACTTAGTAAATACTGTCCAATACTATTCAATCCACTTTACCAAGCATGCCATAAATGTATACTCTTGTTACTTTTTTAGTAATCTATGGACAATCGCCAACAAAATATATCCATATCCAAGAATGTTAGGAGGGTAGGAAAAGAAACAGAGATTTCCAAACCATTCTATGGTTTACTGTTTGGTTTTGGTGAATTCCGACTAAACTGATAACGATACGGCGAAGCTTGAGAACCATTTGGTATTGAGAGGCTTCTTGGATGTTGCTGCCCATTTCTCAAGAATGATCCTTGCGTTCTAAGGACATTTTTAACATTTGGACTTGACCCAACACGCTCAGTTTGCATGGTCTGAAAATAGTACGATGAGCTCGCCATGTCCTTCAGACTTGGCAAAGGCTTCAAGACTTCTATAACTTCACTCATCAGAGGCCGGGCTTTGGGATCCCGGCTAAGGCAGGACGCAGCCAACTGTGCAGCTTTTTGGGCACCTTTTATACTAAAGTGCCCCTCGAGCCTAGGGTCCATTAGACGATAAAAGCGTTTCCGCTCTCCCAGATGAGGCCTAGCCCATTCCACAAGGTTATGCTCCCCATTAGGCCGATTCTTGTCCATTGATCTTCTACCTGTGAGCATCTCGAGCAATACAACACCAAAGCTATAGACATCACTCTTTGAGGTAAGATGCCCTATAACAGAAAAGGATAGAATCCAATCAGAATAAATAGAGATGTCATGCAAACCCTGAAGAATTATTCAAGGCATCTAACGAACATGAAAAATCCCAGATCAAGTTCAAACATTCTCAACCATAAAATTTGGATACACCTTTACTATTAGAAACATTTTCAAACATATATTTTGCAGAGATGAATTCAAACCCAATCAAGGATATCACACGTGATAATGGATAAATATTAAGCAAGACCAAATAAAAATATTAGATTGCCAACATTTCTCTTGCCCAAGTGAATTGCATTGGGTGGGAAAACATCTAGCCTACTAAGCATACTCTTCCCATGTTTGCTCAAGACCATGATACATTGCTAGAAGGATATAGAATGACATAAGGCAGCATGTCCAATAAACAAGCAATAAGTTCGAGATAAGCATAAGATACCAATCCATAACAGCCTTCACGACACCTTTTGAGTAGAGAGACTGTACTAGAATTGAACAAGCAACACAAAAACATGAAAAATACAGGGGTAGTTTGGATGAAATATCAGAATTTTTGCACCACCACGAACAGCATAGAACAATTTCATCACAGCTGTCATTGGCTCAGTTCATAGTATCTTAATAAAAGTATTTTAGTAGAAAAGTGAAATTAACAATAAATAGAAGAGAAATACACATTTAAATAGACAAGATTCCTATCCTATCTAGAAGTTGACCTAGGAAGTTTTACTTTTACATAACATTCAACCATTGAGTTGTTGCAGTAATTCTACCAGAGCAAATGAGTGATACAGAGCAGGAAGGGCCTTCAGTCACAATTGTATAAGATTCAAAGCGGAAAACACCAGGTCAACTAAGGCTGAAGTATAGTGTTAGATAACAAGATTTCCAATTACTTAAGAAATTGCAATGGAACTATTCCTTTATTCTATAGGTTTTCTCTAGTTATCTTTCTTATGACTCTCCATTCTCTTATTCCACTTCTTGAATCCTTGTCCTTTTGGTAGGAGCATTACTTTGCAGTTAAAGATGCATAAAAAATTCACCTGTCATGACATATTCTGGGGCAGCATAACCATAGGTTCCCATCACGCGGGTAGAAACATGTGTTTTTCCTTCATCTGGAGCATCTTTAGCAAGTCCGAAATCAGAAAGTTTGGCATTATATTCCTGAAAAATAAGCTATTATGTTAATTCATATATCAGGAAAATGCATTTTCCAAGAATGTAGTTTGCCAAGCGTAGGGAACTTACAGCATCCAACAGGATATTAGACGTCTTAAAATCACGATATATCACGGGTCTTTCTGCTTCTTGGTGAAGAAAAGCAAGACCCTTTGCAGCACCAAGAGCAATTTTCATCCTGATAGACCATGGAAGAGGCAAAGACCCTACATATTATAATGATTCAATTAGCGGAACGTTGCTACATTGGTGAAACACAAGTGCTCTAGCACTTTAAATGTGAACCAATAATATTATAATATTAGTTTCATACTGTCTTTTGAAAGGAAAATGTCATTTATATGTCCAACAGAAAATGCTCAAATGCAGTGAAAATGGAAAAGATTTGAAGCATCAGAATCTGATACCGAATAGGGGCTTTCACCTCCACTCAAAATTTTAAATAGATGCTGCTTCATCACAGATATCAGTCTGTCATCAGTAAAACTTACTGCTGCTTCCACTTGCACGTATTTTAATCTTTATTTTATCAAAAAAATTTCTTCAAGAAAGTAGGATTTGATAAGTTTTTTTCTCCAACCAAGACTAAATTTGGGTCATTATGCAAATATACTAGTCTTTATGTTCCAATCCAAATACATTACCCCAACATGCACCTAGGAAAATGCAGCTACTATGATATATTGAGATGCAGGATTGTTCCGGAGTTTGTCAAATGCAAACTAAAAAGTGAAAAACTTTCAATTGGAATTCACCATGGTTTATTATCAGACTGTGCATCAACACACTAAACAAGAAGAATATGCTCGCTGAACAATGAAACAAAGAATTGAAGAAAGTAAAGTATCGTTAAATCCGACCCTGTTTGGCTAACCGAAGTTAGAATTTAGACCATAAAATACAAACTAGCAACTGAACCAAAACTTTCAGTGCTGCGTATCATAAAAATGGTTCGGAACTCCAACTTGACAAATATAGAATTCTAACCTACACAGTTAATTTACTAAAAATGGAAGTAAGAAAAATAGATATTTCATTATTTAGGGAAAGTGCCCAGGACTCCTGGATTTTCAACCAAATTCCATGGAGATAACTCGCTATAAAATCTCACACGGGAAATTGACCAAGATTCTCTCAAATGAATCCTATATGACATAACCTGAACTCCAACATCCATGCAAAATACACTGGAAGAAGTTTCAATACATACTTCTGAAAAGGTGGTTCTCCAAGCTTCCCCGAGGCATAAACTCGTAAACTAACAGCCTCTGATCTTCTTCTATACAGTAACCAATTAATTTAACCAAATTAGGATGGACAAGATCACCGAGAAAATTTACTTCAGCCTGCCAAAAATAATTTGTAATTTCAGATAATCCAAACAAAATAATACGAATAAAACAGGACTGACAGCTACTTCAAGAAAATCATATTGAGAAAGCATCAAACCAGCCATTCTTTATGACCCTGAAGTCCATCATGATTGAGTGTCTTCACAGCTACAGTAAGTCCTGTTCCAGGCTTCACCGGTGCCGTCCCATTTTCTTCAATCCACCCCTTGAATACACAACCAAATCCCCCTTCACCAAGAAGAGATTCAGGTCTAAAATTTCTTGTGGCCAGCTTCAGGTCATTAAATGTGAATTTTCGAAGCCGAGAAGATACTTTAAGTTCCTCTTCAAGTTTGAAGCTGGAAGATTTGCTTTCAGCATTGCTTGTCGTGGTGGATGGAAGTACCAGGGAAGCTGGTTGGTCTCTGCTAGTATCGTTCGCTGATTTACTTTCTGTTCACACACAATGAAGCAATAGATAAGAAGAAAGGCATACTCATGATTGGAAAGGTCTACATCGGCATTGTCTGGCGTAGCATGCGGTATATCTTGCCATATGTTAATAGGACTAAACTTATTCAACTAAGTTAATGGAGATAATATCTGGTAACGAGGCAACAAGTATTAGCAATGAATTGACAGCAACGATTACCATTTCTAAATGTATTTAGTTCAATATTATGAAACTTCAAAACAAGTAACATTAACTATTTTACCAAAATTTGATAGCACCTAAAGTAAGCTCATTCTGCACAACATGACAAGCAATGTGCTAATAAGTTTCTGACAACTTTAAATTGTAAACATTGCACCTTAAGCTATTCACCTTGTGTCTGCAAAAGGATTACACAAGAAAAAAAATTTAATTCTTGTTATAGTTACAATTCTAGGAACAACAAAAAACATTGATCAGCATCCTTAATCATAATAGCTCTCTAACTATATGCTCACTATACATCAATAATTTTTGTTGCAATCACATAAATGTGCTAAAATGTTGTCATTAGACTACCTAAGTAATTGGATATCCAATCAGACACAAGATTTACAATAAGGTATCAAATATCCCAATTTGCAAATCTAGCTGTAACATACAACTATAACAAAGCAAAAGAGAACAAAAATAGATATCAAACCAGACTAACCAATGGATAAAGAATGAAAGTAATAATAATATATGAATTTTAACTTGGACTATAACGCTTGAAAAATGAGTAAATGATTACCGCGGGCACTGATGCCACTAATAGAGGTATCAACTTTAGATCTTGAACACATACAGCTGCCAATATACCTCAACTTAACCCAACACCCCATCTCCTCCACAGCATCATCATTTTTCTTCTTCTTCCTCCCCTTTGATTTCACCACATCCCAAGATTCTGCCTTCAAGCTATCACCACAAAGTCCCATCTTTAACAAACCTAGAATCAACAAAAAACAAGGAGCAGCGGCTGCCCACTCTGCTTTTCCTTCCGATGAGGATTCGAGTGTACCCAAATCCCAATTTCCACCCAACCTCCTCCTAAAGAAAATTTGACAAATAGTACCTCACTTCCAGTCCTATTCCCTCCTAAACCCCTAGAATCAGCTAAATCAAGCCAAACGTGTCCCAGAAAATCAGCAAGAGATAACAAAAGGCCACCTTTCACCCACTTCGAAGAAAACCCAAATATCCAAACTAGAACAGGTGACTTTCTTCTCTTCAAGAACCAGTTTTTACTCAAAAATCCACAAAAAGAAATTCAAAAATAGCTCAGCCCAATACGCAGGATCAGCTAATAAAACATCCTTCGTCCACTTTAAAGATTAACCTGAATTCCTTAAAAGATTACTCATCACTCTTTCCACTCCGAGAACCACTTTTTTTCTTAAGAAAAAAAAAATCCCAGATAAAAGGGATGAAATAACTTGTACCCAGTTGAAAAAATATTGGCTGAAAATTACATTAATAGGGCTCGAAAGAGCTCAGTGATTGCAGATCACATGCTTGACATTCAAACAATAAAACTTTACCCCTCGGCTCTCTGCAACAAGCAACTCTGTAATCAGATAATAATAATAATAATAATAATAATAATAATAATAATGATCTCAGTTCGAAAAGTATAACAATTGCGACGCCACCACCCCAGAAATGTCTGTTCTTCGAAAGGATATTGGAATCCCAACAAAAGACTCAAATATGCTGACCTATTCAATGCTCAAAAGAATATTGATGAAAATTGTACTGATCCTATTTTAATCATCAAACGGTATTTTTCATATTTAATCAATTGCGTGCAATGTGTATGTACGTAATTTATGACTGTATATAAAAAAATTCTTTATCGTACTTTTTAATAGAATCAATGACTAAAAAGCAAATGGGAGGCTGCCCGGAGAACATGGGCAGGAAGTTCGAGTGTCACAAGCACTCTTTTAAGCAATTTGTATTTTTCAAGGTGTATTTTAAGGAAAATAATTCCTTTTTGTGGGACGTAATTACTACGTAAATAGCTATTACTGACCTACGTAATATTTATAATAAAATTTGAAGATCACTTAATCACATTTTACTACGTAACGATTCAAGATATATAGAACACTTTTATACCTTTCAATCAATCAATATATATATATATATATATATACACATACAGGAAGTTCGAGTGTCACAAGCACTCTTTTGAGCAATTAGTTATCAAGGAATACAGTTATCAAGGCAGTTGTTAAAGTAGCATTATCACGTTCCACGACTCAAGGAATTCAATCGAAAGCAGTTGAACGATGAAAGATAATAGCAGCAGTTAAAAGGCAGTTTCATGACAAAATGGCCACTACAAAGAAAGTGGGTAGTATAGGACGATCA